TCAGCAGTTGTTATTTGTAAAGATGCATGTGGGATAAAGTTTGAATTTCTTTGGCAGATCATTCTGGGCTAGTTCTACAGTTTTTTGTATTCACACTCACTACAATCTTTTTTTCAGCTGAATAAATACACTAAAATTATTTTTTTTATAAAAAGCATTAGTCTAGTCTAATGGTTAAAACAGTGTACATAGTTACTACAACATTTTGGGGCTTTTTCTCTTAAATAAACAAACTCGAATGCTGATATTTTATTTAAAAGCTGTCTAGTGTCTTTCCTGTTCAAAATAAACCCTTGAGGAATGAGGAAAAGGGAAATGGCGCATTGGCAGATCTTTTAAAGAAAGTGGTTGCTATGCACCCTTGAGGAATGAGGGTGTACATTTTGCTAACTTGTCTCATTGAGGTATTGCTCCCACCAAGCCCTTTGGTGCCTTGCCATGTGTTTCCTCATGCATGTGGCATCCAGCTAGTTATACAGTAAAGAAAGATGGACTTTTAGGTCACCCAACAATACTTTAAAATAGATATAAAAATACAAGATTTATTTTAAATACAATAAAAACAAATCATTAAAAGACATCATGTTAATACATGGTTGCTTGTTTCCTCCATGTATGACCTTAAATTGTAATTTCCACTTTATAACATCTATAAATTTTTAGCTTATTCTCATTATATTTCCCAGAGAATCCAATTTATCTCACATTTATTTTCCAACCATATGAATTCAATATGTGAGCTGGGGTAGAATTTCAAAGCATTTTGTAGGTCTGTATTCTGATTATTTTAAGGTTTTCTTCTAAGCATATATAATAATAATATATAATAATAACAACATAATAACCTTCATGTAATACACATAGGGTTCTATTCACTAACCTGCCGAAGGATCTAGCCGTAGCTTCAGATGATCCTTTAGCTAGCTTCGGCCCCAGGACCCCTTCAGTTCAGTAGAACCGAAGGGCTGCTATACGGGCTATTCACTACAGCCCGTACAGCTCCTGAAGTCGGCCGAGCGGCTCAATCGAGCCAAAGGCATATGCTTCGGCTGGACTGAGCCGAGGTGAAAGCCGAAGCTGGCCAAACGGCCAGCTATTGGCTGGCCGATAGCCTGCTACTGACTGCTGGGCGGAGCCAGCCGTCATCTCACGGCTGGCTCCGGCCACTTGCACAGACAGATCAGCGTCCCTGGTTACCAGGTAACCAGGGACACTGATCTCCAGACAGCCCAACTCTCTCGGGTGCTCCGGAAGTCTCTCGCTATTAGATAGCGGCTCCCAGCCGCCCGGGAGAGAAACTTTTCTCCAAGAAAGGTTTACTCTGCTCTAATCAGCCGTACCAGCCTGAAGTGAATAGCCGAACAGCGTTCGGCTCACTTTATTTCGGGTCGATTAGTCACTCGGCTGCCTACGGCAGCTAATTGAATAGACCCCATAGTGTTTATATCAGGGTGCCCACAATTTTGGTGTTAAAGGAGAACTATAAGGTGAGTGCTTTTCACTTGCCTCATAGTTCTAGCCGACCTGTGACAATGAGACTGTCACAGGTCGGCTCAGTAGATCGGGAGGTGAGCAAACACATACCGGCGTTCGCTCACCTCTCGATCCTGTCACGGCTCTCTGCCGTGACAGGGGAGGGGCTGGATTCCCCCCTCCCCGCTCCGATCCGCCAGCGCTGACTGGCGGAACGGACGGGGAGGGGGCGGGTACTATTTCTATCAAATTTCTATCATTGTTCTCATGAAAATGCCAAGTATCGGCACTGGTATCTGAACTGGTATCGGTGCATCCCTACTGATAAGAGTATTTATAGAATTTATAAGCAGGCCCACCCATTGAATATTTTATGTCTAAGTACTGTCTTACACTATTGTTATCTTTATTTAATGTATAGAATTTTTTCTTTTTCCTTTCTCGCCCTTCACTTTCTACTTTTTATATTAAATAATACTGTCCTGACGCTAGCCAATTTCTATCAAAAACCAAACCTGAAATATTATGAGAGATATTTTAAATATTTTAGGAAGAATTGGAGATAAGGAGATGGGGGGGGGATTCATGAAATGTGCTGTTGTGGTATCTTTAAGGGTATACTGCTACTCCCAAATCATGTCTGTTACTGCTGGATAAACATATTCAGGCATATCATCAAAAACTACTTAAAAGGTTGTTTTTTTTCCACGTTTAATGAATCAGATTGGGGTGCTGCTGCTGTATTTAAGCCAAGCAATAATGTAAAATTAAAAAATCTATTATACATGCAAAATATATGATGCCAGAATACAGTGTTGTTGACGCTGTCCATGAGACTGTACTGTTCCCTAACACCTCCTATGTTGCCTGCAAATACATTAAAGGAGAACTATGGGGTTAAGGCTTTTCCCCATAGTTCTCCTTAGGGTAACGGGAGGACACAAACTAGCGTCCTCCCGTCACCCTGGGTTCAGTATACCGCGAGCTGTAGCTCGCGGTATACTGAGACGCCACAGTATATTGTGCCGGGATCCGCCCAGCTGCGTGACTGATAGCTGGCTCTGCCTATCTAGAGGCAGAGCCAGCTGTACCCATCCCCTCCCCGCTCCGATGCCTCTAGATGGGCAGAGCCAGCTGCCAGTCACGCAGCTTATCTACTGAGCGGACCTGTGACAGTCTCATTGTCACAGGTCGGCTAGAACTATGAGGTGAATGAAAAGCACTCACCTCATAGTTCTCCTTTAAAAAGAGGACTCTGCCCCACTGAACAGTATTTTCTATGTTTACTTTCCCGTTACCCTAAGGAGAACTATGGGGAAAAGCCTTAACCCCATAGTTCTCCTTTAAGATCTACTTTTCAAATGACAAGCTCAATGAGATCTAACAATGAAAAAAAAACACCTTTTATTTTAAAAACTAGCTGTCTCCCCTTGCTCTCTCTCCTGGCTGTCTCTTCCCGCTCATCCTCCTGGCTGTCTCATCTCTCTCTCATGGCTGTCTCTCCTCTCTTTCTCTCCTGTCAGTCTCTCCTTGCTCTCTCTTGCACTGCAGAAGCTTCCCTGCTCTTCTCTCATGCATGCTGTTCTGTCCACTCATGGTGCTAGTGTGTCCGAATATATTTTCAGGTAAATGTTACAATACTATAGCATTTTCAGTTAGTACTTATTTTGATAAACAGTTTACCTTCAATCTAAGGAAGACATTACAATCACAATACAATTCAAGACAAGATGCATTGTTTGCATTGGTACATATCCCCCATGGCAATTCCCTGGTTAATTTGCCCCTTGTTTGTTGTCCTTTGCCTATTTGCCTTGAAAAAGGACAAAAATAATTTTCAGGGTTCACGTTCACGTCTTTGCATTTTTGCCCAAGCACTTACAGTCATCATGTTTGCAAGCAGCTTTCCCTGAGGGCCAGTTCATACAAATTGTGGTGCGTTCCAGGGCGGTAGCTGTTGAAACGCACTGTAATCGCACACCAAACTCCCCCCTTTGTTCTGGGGCAAGAAGGGGCATGGGGGTGCATTGAAGTCAATGGCACTGCAGCCACGCCCCTGGCCCACAGTGCGATCGGACACATGGCAAAACATTACCTGCGTTCCAGTGCAATGCGAACGCAAAAAAATGCAGCATGCATAGCTGCTGGCAAATTGAATATTACTATCTACTAGTGGTAAGATATCATAAGATACATTTCTAATATTGCTCAAATGCTGTGGGCATTACAAAGCCACATGATAGTGTTGGCTCCCCAGTGGATTCTCTATAATGCAGAGTAAATAAATAACTGGGAAATCTAACTATGAGAGAGTGACACCTAATTTAGTTGTGGGGGATGGATAAAAGAGACTAACCAGAAACAAGGAATCTTTCCACTGAAGCCTGCAAGACATATAGGAAGCTGTTGGGTAATTTAATGCACCAATGCCCACCCAAAACCGTTGCCCTTGAAAGTCTCAGCAGTAAGCGTTAGAATCAATTGATTACAATAGCCAGGGCAGTAGTTATCGTCTACCATAATAAATCTTGCTGTACAGTATTCATGAAAATAGTCAATAACTGTTATTAGCAGACCTTCCACTTAAATACAAGGTCAGCTTAGTTGTCAACACCCCACCCGCTGATTACAAAAAAGTCTAGAATAAATCAATTTAAAACAAAAAAAATAGATATTTAACATTCTCTGGATATTCTCAGTCACTAACCTCACTGGGCCTCTCAGCAGGGATCTAGAGAAAGCTAAGGGATCCCAATTCTCATGAGAAGGCATTGTAAAGGGGGTGAATTTTTTTACAAGATTTTGGATTTTCAGCTATCAAGGATTCTATAAGAAAACCTAGGGATGTCAGCTGGCAAAAGTCAGGGTTTAAGGTAAGTATTTTTACATGATCTTTCTTTTCTTATTCCTTTAATCTAGCTTTTTGGAATTAAGAGATTGGGGGTGATTTACTAACCTAAACACACGCACGCACCAGGTGCGTGTGATTTTCACACAGCAAAACGTATTTATCAACCAAAAAGTCTCTAAAAGCATATTTGCACTAATGCCATATATGGAAAAATCATGCACATGATGCATATATAATGCTGCTTCACAGTTTAGACAAAAATGGTTAGCTCATGCATTTACATTCCTGCATTCATCAACGCAAGCAACATAACATAGAGCTAATTTACACAACATCACCTTGCAATTCATGCTTGGCTTTGCACAACACACCTGCTGGGTGTGTACACACTACAAAGGTGTTTAGAGTCCACCCATAGATCATGCTGGGAGGGAACACACTACCGAGGTGTATACATGTCCGTGGTGTGTTTATAAGGTTAGTAAATCAACCCCATTGTGTCAGCTGCACAAGTGGATCTTGTATTGTAGTGCAAGGTCTGCTTTAACTCCTGAGTCATGTAATTTGTTCAGTGAGTATATGATGTCTGCCCAGGTTAACAGATTTAGATAAATATTGATTCAGAATTCTAATATGTAATGTTTACTTTTTTTAGTTGTATTTCATCTTTTTTCAGGTCTGACTCCAATGCTACATATAATCCAAACTATACTTAAAGATCCAGAAGATGAAACAAAATGTTTCTTACTGTTTGCCAATAAAGTGAGTATTGTAGATGAAAGATAGCATGAATGTAATCCTTATTTTTGTGCATTATGAAAGAACAAGGGATTGTGACAGCTGTGACCAGAGCCTTATGCAAGAGAAGGTCCAACCTTTTGCTCCATCAAGACTCTGATGTGCCTTACCCACAACAAGAGCAAACTAATAGTGGAGCCCTGGTTGATCCATGGTTGCTTATTTAGCCATAGCAATAACCAATAGCAGCATCAATGTCTCCAGTCAGTAAAACACAGCCATCACTTAGGTTAGCTACACCACCGGCTGTAAGATGTGAGGAGGGCTGTTTGTTAATTATTAAGCTTCTTAGAGAAATGTATCATTGTAAATAATATAGTACAAATGTAAAAAACTATTTTCTGGCCCATGACTGTATGTACCAATTCATAAAATCCTGGAAGCCTTTATATAAGAATGGATTCATCTTCTGTAATACATAAATTCCAGTCAAGAGATAAATACAGGATCAGTTCACAAGAAATGTGCCTCATGTTACCCAGAGGCATGATGGAAGTGTTTACCTTCTTTAATTATGACAGCTCTTTGTGGTACAGTTGTATTAAAAAAATAATAACTTTTTGGAATACTATTTTCTTTGTAATAGCAATAAAAATTATTGAAAGTAAAAAAGTTTTTAAAAAACTGGGAATCAATCATTGAAAATAGAGCTGTGGAATTTTATGCTAATCGGAATGAAGTACACCATTCAAATAGCATGGTTCTCACATAGAGTCACTGCATATATGGTTGTGCTGCAATAGCAGGTTCCACCTGGGTTAAACAGAGAAACCAAGAGTCTGAGATGTTACACCGTTATTTTGGTGTAGGACCTACACTAAAGACTAATTCATGTGCAACAAACACTGAGGTGAGTGAAATTACAATTTTACTTAAGAAATGCCACTGAAACCCCAATTGGGACTCAGGAGTAAACACTTGACACCTTCATGTGGGACAATAAGCCATACCTAAAACTGTCCAAAAGTTGGAAACACTGTATCTTTCTTTTTAGTCAGAACCTGACATCATACTGAGAGATGACCTTGACAAGCTACAAAAAGAGCACTCAGAGCGCTTCACACTCTGGTTTACTGTAGATAATGCTCCCCAAGGTAAGCAAGTGTCTCTCTTACCTAACTACTACTCTCTATTGTATTTATTTCATTTATTTTACATAATGTGGAGTACAGCAGGAGAAGTGGTACTACTTGCTGCATGGAGACCCTAAATAGATATAAACCAGTGGGTACATTAGCTCACTAGGGGCCCTCAGAAGTTCTGAGTCATAACCAAGCACAATTGTTGTTATTGCTTTAGCTACAGCCATTACACCTATGCCACAGGCCAGAATAACCAATTGATAAATCGCTAAACACTCGCTTCAGACTTTGTAAGTAAAACTGCTTCATGCATAACAAACTGATAAAGTGAGCTTATCATTACATGTAAAACAAATTAATTTACTGTTGTCAGGTTAAAACTTAAGTGTACATGGAAAATGCATAACGCAAAGCAGTCATTTTAGATGTGCAATAGACATAGTGCTATAAACTTAGTAACATTCTCTGCCATGAAGTAGTAACACATAGCTAAAAGTCTGTATATATGACATGTTTGTTTGACATAGCAGGTCTTCTCTCTTACTAATTCACTAATGTCTGTTTTTGTTTTGCTTGTGTTAAGATTGGGAATACAGTAAAGGTTTAATTGACTCAAAGATGATCCAAGAGCATCTACCACCACCAGCTGACGACACCTTCATTTTGCTATGTGGACCTCCCGCAATGATAAAACTGGCTTGTAAGCCCAGTCTGGACCTTTTAGGATACGAAGAAAATATGTATTTTGTTTACTAACAACATTTTTCTTTAAATAAAAACTTTCTATACTAAGTATAAATCCATCAACGATTAAAATGTTACTTCTAGGAAGATGCCATTAGATAATTTCATCTCTGACTTCTTGCATCTCTTAGTGACTCCAACAGTGACCCCCAAATACCCAGTTTCCTCTAATTGCCACAGATATACCAAGGTAATTTCATTAATCACATTACAGCCTCAGAGGAGTGAATCTCCATGGTAGAGGATGGTGGAATTCCAAGGATATAAAAATCTAGAGAGTGATCCAACCTGCTAACATGTACCTTGACATTTGTGTGGGCATAGTAATATTTTCAAAGGAATGAAATGCTGATATTGTACAAAAAATATACGGTACTTATCACAGCTATTTAAAAAAAACCTGAAAATATCTTTAGTGTACTTCTCTCAGTATTCTGTGCATGGACAGAAAGGCATAGGAAATATTTATCTAATATCCAAGAGTGCTTCAAAGCTGAATTAAAATGCATGCAGTGTTTCTTACATATACTATACATCTACACCTGGTATTAGGGTGTTAAATGATCTACGGACTTCACATACTAGTGGGCTGGTCATGCACAATCTTCCACACAGAAGATCATTCTACAAAATATTCAGAAGCGGGAGCCATCAGGGGCTGGCTTATTTTGTGGAAAATCAATACAATCATGTGGTAAAGGTTGTCGCCTAGAATGATATGATATCATATGATGGCATTTTTTCCAAAAACTAAACGATCTATTCTTTGTGGAGATTTAAGCCTGTGTATTACAGTTATACCACCACCACTCTTGACAAATATATGAAATAAAGAAATTAAAAAGAAATCGAAGTGATCTAGTTTATATTTGCTAACTGTCTTCATTTCCTCAAACTATTAGATATTTTGATCCATGCTGGTGGAACTGCAAACTGGGAAAACGTTACAAATTTTACACATCTAAAACAGATATATACCTAAACTAAGGGACAATTCATTTGCTAAACAAGTGTGATTCAAAAACAGTTGGATTTTATTTTTATTTTTTTAAATGCTTGTTTTCATCTTTTTTTCATCCTTTGTTAAATCTCAGCGCTTCTGATCAACTACAGCCTTTGTGCCGGCCATTTCCTCTCTACATGCCTGCACTTCACCAATGGCTTCATGGCATTGCTCAGGGCAATGATGGAAGCCAGAGGATGGTGAAAGCCAGGGGAGGACTGGGAACCATTTTTCTTGGGTTGGATGGAGGGCAATGAGCAGCCTTACCGCAACTCATATTTACATGCATGCAGTAACACTCTACTGGTATGTGATTCTGGCCTATAGGTTTATATTATGTCACCTATTTACAATTTTGAGTATTGTATTTCCCCCTGTTTGTAAATGTATGTGATTTAGACACTAGATATATTTGGTATTTATCAGCTAAACACATTTGTCATTTACACTTCATGGTTCATTTGGGGGTTGTGTTTTGTGCAGTAAAAAGTATGTGTTTTTTATGAGTTCCCTGAGAGACAGAGAAATTCAGAGACTGTGAAGTTAGACTGCTGCCCTCAGGATAGTGGCAAACAAAAAAAAATTGTGCCCAGCCCAGTATAACCCCCTCGTATTCACAGCATGCCTCAGTTTTGTGGCAAAGGAGTGCCAACTAAGGGGTGGGCAACAGCAACAATTCATTGCAAGGTCCACAACATACAACAGAACTGGGGACTGTATGGAGCTCAGAAAGCCATCTGAAGGACCTTACGCCAAAAGCTGGCATCAGAAGAGGCCTTAACATCCACCTGATAGAACTTGTGAACAGTAGACCAGGTGGCAGCCTTACAAATGTGAGAAATAGATGCTTGATGCCAAAAAGCCCAAAAAGTACTCACGGATCTAGTAAACTGCGCCTTGACAGAAAAGGGTGGTGATGGTTTGTGTAAGTCATAAATGGTGGAACAAGAATCAAGTTCCCCTTTACAAGAGCGGAGACTCTTTCAAATGGAAGCAGTGGCTGTGAGATAGCACACACAGCACAAACTTCATTTAAGCAATGCAGGGAGATCTCCTTCTGATGAACTATGATTGGACAAAAGGACAGAAGAACAATGTCCTAGTTGAGGTGACAGGCTGAAACTACCTTAGGAAGGAAGAATTTTTTGGGCATCAACACAACCTCAGTACTGTGCAAGATCAGAAAAGTTTCTTCACAGGAAATTGCTATCAGTTTAGATACTCGCCTTGTCGAGGTGATGGCAACAGGAAACACAACCGTTTGCATGAGAGTGAAGAGGGGAAAATCTTTGATTGGATGCCCTTTGAAGAGCCAAAATTGAGATCCAGTGGAGCCATGGGGGAAACAACGTACAGGGGGAGCCTCTTGTAAGACACTCTGCACAAAAGTTCTAATTAAGAAATGTGGTCTCTGGATTGGTGGACAAAGCTGGAACATTACGTTCCGCCAAGGAGAAGATCTGCAGTGGCAAGACTTCTGGTTAATGCCTAATGGTTGATGGTTTTCTGATTGAATCTAGAATGGGTTATCCTCCAGCACTGTAGGAACAACCAAATTGTCTGAAGTTCCAGAATGTTGATTGGAAGACTAGATTCCTCCCAGTTCCCTTCACCGACAGGGTGCCTAGGACTCCTCCCTAGCCTGACAGGCTGGCATCCATTATGAAGTTCTGGAAGGAAGTGATGTCCCCGACTCCCGAGAAGGATTCCCAAGCCACCGAGCCAGGGATAACCTGGTCTTCAGTGCCCAATGAATTGGTCTGCCCAAGGTCTTGACTGACTTGTCCCATGATGACAGAATGTTGGTTATAGGAGTCTGGAGTGGAACTGGGAAAATGTGACTGCCACCAGTGCCAGGCAGTGCCGGAACAAGATCATCCATAGTTACATAGTAAGTAAGGTTGAAAAAAGACACAGGTCTATCTAGTTCAACCTATATAGAGAGGGTATATGTGTGTCTATTGCTAGCAAATTCCATAACCCTGTATATTTTGTAAACTGAGGAACTCATCCAAATGTTTTCTGAAGCTGTCAGTGCTGTCTGCTGATACAGCTAACTGTGGAATGTTATTACCACAGTAAAAAAAAAAAAACCTGTGTAGTCTGAGATTTGCATTGCATGATTTTGCTGTGTCTGTGTTCAATAAATACCCATACATCTTTCTCCATTACTGATTTCCCCAGCGGAACCCCTCCCAAAGTGTATTTTGTATTATGTCTTACCTCCCAAGTGCATAACTTTAAATTTTTCTAGACTGAAACTTATCTGCCATGTTGCTGTCCACTCATCAATTTTATCAAGGTCTTGCTGCAGTCGTTCTATGTCTTGTTGTGAATTTATTGCCCTACTTAACTTCGTATCATCAGCAAACAACCTCTAAATCATTTCTGAATTGAATAAACAGAATTGTTCTCAGGAGTGAACCCTGGGGCACTCCACTCACCATTTTGGACCAATTAGATTATGAGACGTTTATCCCTACCCTTTGGATATGTTCCTGCAAACAGTTTTCTACCAATGTGCATACAGTTTCTTCAACGCCAATAGACCTTAGTTTGTAAATTAACCGTTTGTGGGGTACTGTATCGAACACCTTGGTAAAATCCAGATAAACTACATCTACTGCGATTCCTCTGTACACATACAGTATAAATATGTATAACTCACCTCCTCATAGGATGTCAAAAGGTTTGTGTGACAAGAACAGTCCTTCATAAATCCATGCTGGTTATGACTTATGATACCGTTATCACAAGCAAATTTTGGAATATAGTACCTGACTTACTTTTGCATTTTATTGATGTAAGGCTGGCTGCCCTGTAGTTACCCAGTAAACGTCTACCCACGTTTACCCAGTGTGAAGATGCCAAACAGCACCCTCAGCTAGATGAAGAAGAAGGTGGAGTAACAGCACTGTGGCAAAACGTATGTAATGTATGAGTTGTATATCAGTGTACATTATGCCATTCAGTAAAATAGGAGGCTAATAGAGGTGAAGGAATAAATGCCCCTGCTTCATTGTGAGGAAAATATGTCCCTGTGTCGGTGGTGTCACTGGAAGTAACGAATTCTCCTGCGTCAGAGGTGTCAATGCAAGGAAAAAATGCAAGTGTGCCATTGTCAGTGGGAGTGAAAAATACAGCTGTGCTGGTATCATTGGGAGAAAAAAAAATTACACTGCATTGGAGGAAAAAATACGTCTGCATCAGTGGTGTTAGTCTAGGGAGGACTAATTTGAAATTTGAGTCAGTGGGATTACAGGAAGGAGCCAGGAGGCTGTGGGGGCCCCGTGGGGTGTATATAACTCAGGGACCCTGTGTGGCTCTAAGGAAGCGAGGGAAGCTGAAAGGTAGGGTGGCTGCGGCGCTCTTTGGGGCTTCGAGAGGGAGAGGGAAACTCTGCCACCGAGTTGTTCCCCAACCCTCTGTGTACTCACAGTTTAGGGCTTCTCAGTTCAGTGCCCACCTAGGAATGAAGGCAGCTTCTTCTTCCCGTCACTGCTTATGTGATATAGTCCGTGTACCCATCGCACTAAGAACCGCTGCTCCATGAGCTAACAAGTGGGTGCAGCAGGTGTCATCTGGTGGCTTCCGTCAAAGTATAAGTAAAGGATGGACACCGGCACTCCAAAGCAAATCCAGTACGTCTTTTTATTCACGTACTTGTTGCAAATGCAAAACACAAGGTATCTTGTGTTTTGCATTTGAACAAGTACGTGAATAAATAGACGTACTGGATTTGCTTTGGAGTGCCAGTGTCCATCCTTTGCTTATGTGATATGTCACATGACAAGGGAAGACAGGAAGGAAGGCAGTCCACCTCACTTCCGAGCAAGCACTCATACTGAGAAGCAGATCTGTTCCCAGTGGGCAGCTCTCTTCTGCCCACAGCTGGCTGCTATTTGAGGGATTAGAGAGTAGAATCCTCCTGAGAACTGAGAAGTCCAATAATTACATTTTGCTTTGGGAACTGTAAACAGGTTGGAGTTAAACCCCTGGAACTGTTCTGCCACAGGGACGGACGGACTGGGGACCAAACTTGGGCTTGACTTTGGAAACTGAGGCCTAGGCAAAAGGAAATAAACTCTTCTTGGCCTCTGGTAATGATTGAGTCTTTTCAGACTGAGCCCTAGGCTTCTCCTACCGTGGAAGATGAGTACTCAGTACTCCCCCAGTAACATCCTTGGGCAGCTCCAAAGACACGTTCATCAAAGGGCATGCAAAGCGCTGTAGTGTGATAACACAAGTCCCCCCAAAACACGTTAATGGATGTTAGGTGCATCAGGACATTGCTGGGCCATTCATTTTGAATGACATCCCGACGCACTAAAAACCAGGCAAGTCCCCATTCCCACCTAGGCGTTCGGTGAACATGCAGCAAACACACACAAAAATGCATGCTTTGACCCGCGTTCACGTAACTTCTATCAGCTGATCGAGGGATGCCGATCGAAAGAGTGAGGACAGTGGCACACACTGTGCAAATTTCGTGAGGTTCCTCAAAAACAGTGCATGGGCACCTTTACAGTGTATTGCGCAACACCGCTCTAAGGAACATAGACTAGAATGAAAAGGCCCCCAGAGATAGGGTGCTATAGATAGAATGGATGGCGCTGCCGTGAACAGTAGAGTATATATTGCCAGCACGCTGTATAGTTCAAAAATAAGGCAGCCTTTATTTGCGTAATCTTGGCATGTCGCATATCAAATGCAATGTTCCAGAAACCTGCAAGGGGTCCTTTTATCAGGTAAAGTGACACGTCTTTATTAGTGTAAACTAGGCATGTCACATATTAAAGGTCACTTTAAATGATGAACGGATCCTTTGCAGGTCCTGAAAGCCTACATTTAATACGTGACATGCCTAGTTTACGCAAATAAAGCCATTTTTATTTATGAACTATACAGTGTGCTGGCAGTATTGCTGAAAATGGTGCAGATCTGTTTTCTTGGACATTTTGGTGCATTGCAAGACCATTAATTGAACAGACTTCCTTAAGGCAATGCACGTTAATGTATGAATAAACGCGTTGCACCACATTCAAACCTAGGTGCGCTGGTAATGTACGTCGTGTTCACATGCATTTTCTTCCCCGGCATTTGCCGTGCATCCTCATTGATTTTAGTGGGTGCCTGCAGGCATGACCTATGCGGCAATGTAGCAAATTCTCCTACACGCATCTCACGTTTTTCCCAGCTGTGTTTAGTGGTGCCATTGAATGTTTGTTGAATGTTTTTGACCAGTTCAATGAACGCACATCAAAGCGTGCATTTATTTGCACGTATGCCATGCGTTCACAGAACACCTAGGTGTGAATGGGGTCTAATTGCAATGTATTAGGAGACCTAGGTGTCAATGGGCCTTTAAGGGGACGGAGTTCAAAACTGTTAACCTGCCTAAGGCCTTATTTGGAGTTTATTGGGATAAGGAAGACATATTTTTATATTCAGGGCTACATAAACATGGCCTCAGCCTAATGAGAGTCTATGAATGGCACTGAACAGCACCTTATGAACCGTGTTACTGTCACATGACTCGCTCACAGCGTCCATGTTCTGTCAGGGCTCATTACTTTGATCAGGGCGGAGTTAACTGGACTCCGCCCTCCCTCCTGTCACACAGACCATGTCAGAAGAGCGGAGGCCCCCAGCATTGTACAGTGAGGCGGGCGGGCGGACTCTAGTGCTGTACCGGAAGTGGCTGAATCATGTTGTCATTTCCTAGACAGTGGTTGTTCCGGAGACATTTGGTGGAAGCGTTAGGTAAACATGTCATTTCTACGGCTACTATTGATTAACCTCAATGTTCTGTATGCGGCTCGTCCTGACCAGGGACTCGATGCGAAGGCTGTGCTGAGGAGATGGGTGTGACAGACATTGCTGTAATTATATCATTTTTGTATGCTAGTCGATCGTAGCGCCTATGTGTGTGTGTCTGTGTTACCCGAGAGGTTTTGTGCCCATGAGCTCCTCTTCACGATCCGTGTATGGATGACACGTTTTTGCATTGATTTGACCTTGTTTTTGAATATCTTCATGTTGCTGCCTATTGCCGAGCATTGGTGTTTGTCTCAGGGTTGATGATGACGTTATAGGGCATCCATTGGAGACTTCCTTTTTATAGCAATGTTTATTGTAAACTCAGTAACGCAGGTACAACCTTAGCAGGGCATTGTACTAGAAAGGACAGAGATATTAGAGCTTGGATTTTGTGGAAAATATTACATAGAACATATTTCTGTTGTAAGTGCAATTTGATGGAATGTATTAGGGAGCCCTTTAAACTTAGAGTTAGTGGCCTCCCATACACCTTTCACCACCTGAAGCCGAGGGGGGTGTTGGCAGCACACGTTTGGGGTTGTTTGCACTGTCCAGCTCCTGCCCATTGGTTGCCAGCAGCAGGGTGGTACGCTGGCCAGAGCATCACAGGTTGCTAAGAACCCTTGACAGCCAGGGATGCTGTGGCCAGAAAGGGGGCGGATCACTCCGGGTTGGTTCACGCTTGACCGCCACAGTCAGGTGCTCGCACAGCTCGCCACTGGTTACTCAAAGAGTGCATAGCGGCACACTGACATTTTCCAAAAATATCTGCTTTTGGAATATGTCGGTGTGCCGCTATCCACTTTTTCTACAATTAGAGTAGTACTATCCATCCTGTTTATTCCACCTGAGACAAGGGCCGATTCGCACCAGATTCCTTGGGGCTGGCCTTCTTTTCCAGTGCAGTCCCAATGCACTAACAAGACAATAGCCTTGTTTTCAACCTTGCTGTGGTGTGCACTGAAAAAAAAAAAGTACTGCGACGCAGTAAAATCGCATCACACTATGGCTGTAAACCTGAACAAAATGTAATTTGTGACATTTCAATAAAGTTTTTTTTTAAAAAGGTGATGTGCTGGCATCAGTGCATCTGCACTGTTTTTTCTCACCGCACATCAGCCCCATGCATTTAGTGTGGCTTGCTGATGTGAGAAAACGGGGGAAGAGAGAGGTGAGCACTGACCGCCATGGGACTATGGATGAGGTGAGTATATCTGCGTCATTTGAGCCCCATAGACAAAATGAGTGCTTAAAGGAGAACTATGGGGTTAAGACTTTTCCCCATAGTTCTCCTTAGGGTAACGGGAGGACACAAACTAGCGTCCTCCCGTCACCCTAGGCTCAGTATACCGCAAGCTGTAGATCGCGGTATAGTCAGACGCCGCAGCTGAAGCGGATTCTGACAATTGTGCCGGGATCCGCCCAGCTGCGTGAGTGACAGCTGGCTCTGCCTATCTAAAGGCAGAGCCAGCTGTACCCGCCCCTCCCCCGTCCGTTCCGCCAGTCAGCGCTGGCGGAGGGGGGAATCCAGCCCCTCCCCTGTCACGGCAGAGAGCCGTGACAGGATCGAGAAGTGAGCGAACGCCGGTATGTGTTCGCTCACCTCCCGATCTACTGAGCCGACCTCTGACAGTCTCATTGTCACAGGTCGGCTAGAACTATGAGGTGAGTGAAAAGCACTCGCCTCATAGTTCTCCTTTAACCCTTGCAGTGCGGGGGTAGCCCCACTGCATGGTTAGGTTTTTTACATTTTAAAAAACTTCATGTCTGTTAAAAAACCTCAGTCTGTCCACATATCTGCACAATGACATCTATTCCAACCACTAGAAGCTGCCTGTAGTGTCCTATATTTAATCCTGCTCCAAACAAACAGCTAGAAAGGTAACAAATGTTTTTTTTTTTAAATGGAATATATATTTTTTAGAATATAAAAAGATAAACATAGATGCTGTGTAAATGGGAACAAATGACAGACATATAGTAGGGGGTTATTAAAATTTGACTGCAAATGTGGAAATGCAGTTTAAAGCTGTGTAAAGTATGCATAAAATACCTTCCCTTGTTCCCTCCCACTCCTCTCGATGCACACTAAATTAACAATGTATGTATGTGTGTGTGTGTATGTGTATATATTGTATATGTATATACAGGGCTTGAAAAATCCACTCGCGCTCTCGTATGTGACGAGAGGACGCCAGAGCCGGATGAGTAACTTTACCGGCCGGCCGTTGTAATTAAACAGCCCGCCGGGAGCTTCTTGGATGGCGGTTTACATTCAAGCGATCGCGTGTCTCTTGAGACGCCCGATGGCTTGTGTTAGCTGCGGTTTTACTCCCCCATGCCACCGCCACTCTCACTGCCGTTCCCGAAATCAGTTGTGCCCTGTGCGGCCGGGACCGGCACGGCTGCTCTGTGACAAGAGATCGGTACACAATCTCCCTCTGATCTCCTGTCCCCGAATGTAGGAAGTGAGGTATATTACATCCGCATTCAGCTATCATTCCCAGCTACAGATGCCGGTGAGAAGCTGGTGACGCAGATCTCTGCTTCATGAGCTTCTCTGGGGGTCCCTAGGTGACATTAGGGGTCTTGGAGACCCCTAATGTCTCCATAAAGAGGACATATCATGTAAATTGGCTATCACATAGTGGGCTTCTTAGCCCCCTATGTGATAGCAAAATAGTTAAGTGTAAAAATATTAAAGAAGCATAAAAAAAAAAATTTAAGTCACCCACCCCCCACATACACATGCAAACATGCGTCAGGTGCGCCTACATGTGAAAATGACAATTGCGCCTATTGTGCCGCACATGTTGTATATCACCGCGAACGTTGCAGTGAGAGCAATCATTTTAGGGTCATTAATCACTGATAATATTAAACTGATGAGCAATAAAAGCGTCGCCTATGGTCAATTTTTGGTGTGGTCGTTTTTTGCGATTTTGCATGCGTGCGCAATTTTAAGGCTTGACATGTTCTGTGTCTATTTACCCGACGTGAACCCCTATTTTATATTTTACCAAAAATATGGGTAAGAATAAATGTTTAAAATAGGTGATTTTTAAGTGACTTTGAATGTGGCATGGCTGTTGGTGCCAGATGGGCAGGTTTGAGTATTACAGCAACTGCTGATCTACTATGATTTTCATACACAAGAATCTCTCGGGTTTACAGAGAATGGTCTGAAAAAGAGAAAATATCCAGTGAGCGGCAGCTCTCTGGGCAAGAATACCTTGTTAATGCCAGAGGTCAGAGGAGAATGGCCAGATGGTTTCAAGCCGATGGAAAGGCAACAGTAACTCAAATAACCACTTGTTACATCCGAGGTCTGAACCTTGAAGCAGATGGGCTGCTGCCACAGAAGATCACACCGAGTGCCACTCCTGTCAGCTAAGAACAGGAATCTGAGGCTACAGTTTGCAAGAGCTCACCAAAATTGTAAAATAGAAGATTGGAAAAACGTTGCCTGGTCTGATGAGTGTCGATTTCTGCTGCGACATGCGATTGGACAGGTCGCAATTTGATGTAAACAACATGGAAGCACGGATCCATCCTGCCTTGTATCAACGGTCCAGGCTGGTGGAGCTTCCCATCATGGATATGCAGCCGACAAATCTGCAACAACTGTGTAATGCAATCATGTCAGTATGGACCAAACTCCCTAAGGAATGTTTCCATCACCTTGTTGAATCAATGCCACGAAGAATTAGAGCAGTTCTGAAGACAAAAGGGGCCCAACCAAGTACTAGCAAGGTGTACCTTTTATAAAGTGTGTGTATGATAAAAAAATTTTTATCTATATCTGGACCAGTGATGTCATTACTGGGTCCCTCTTTTGCCGGTCTTTGCTTTACAGAAACTTCCTGTTTGGTAGGAGACTCTTGAAGATTTTTCTATATTCATCATCTTACTCTGCTTTACAAGATCCCTTCCAAACCGTGGGCAGTGTCCTAGGCGTGTGTATAGAAATTTTTACCCGACATGGTAGGTGGACTTATAGGCAGGTCCATACATATCGCACATCAGAAGGTAGACACTCCTTTACCCCCAAATAATTGTACCAAGAATACTGTAAGAAATCCCCCAGTCCCATACATTTGCCTACAGCAGGGGTCAGCAACCTGCAGCTCCGGAGCCGCATGTGGCTCTTTCATCCCTCTGCTGTGGCTCACTGTCCAGGGGCGGAACTGCCGCCGGGGCCTGAGACTGTGGGGGGGCCCAGTGAGGTCTGGTCCTGGGCACCCCCCTGGTGGAATAAGTGGCAGTGCAGGCTCCCGGGGCCCCGCACTGCCGACGGGCTTCTCATCAAGGGGGCGGGTCCCTGTGACTCACCTCCTCTCCCGGCCACGTGCCTAGTAACAGGAGGTGGGAGAGAAGTGTGTGGTGTGTGTCACATGCCCTGCCCCCATCTGGCTGGGATGCTGGCTGTGAGGCTTGGCAGGTGAGTCCTAATGAGGGGAGCGGGGGGGGAATGGTACAGGAATAACTGCACACTGTGTGCTGTTATTTCATTTAATTAGGAAAGTGGATTATAATGGGGAACCGCTGTTCTAACAAAGTTTGTGACTAGGTTGGAATGTGTGACCGGTGACATGGTCAAGGCCTGGGTCAGCATACGATTTGCGATGCTGATCTGCCCTGAAACAGCTGGGAAAGCGTTGGAATGCTTGACCTATTGTTGGTCCCACAATCCACTGCCAAAAAACTGGGTGGGATTACATTGAAATGTGTGACTACGTTACACATTGTAACATTGTCACAAACTTAGAAAACTGCCATCAGGAGGGGTACGGCCAGTACCCATGTGCGGGGTCTGGGCAGCCTGGGGGGCCTCTTATATGAGTATCAGCTGTACCAGGGGCGGCATGGCAGAGGTGACGGGAGGGGGTGGAGGAGGCCAGGCCACAGCAGCAGGTAAGAGGAGTTAGGAGGAGGTACAGGAA